TGTGAGAGGACAACAGGAGATTAATTTTTTCACTGGAGGAAGCGTTATTATGGATTATGGAGTCATATTTTGGCCAGAAGTTATGGATTTAAGTTAAAATGCCTTGATGGATTTTTTTTTTCTTATAGTTTTTCACTTCACAAGATATTAACTGATGGGTTGTAGTTGTGTGGATTACTTGTGGATTATTTTGTTGTTTTTTATCAGCTGTTTGGACTCTCATTCTGACGGCACCCATTCACTGCAGAGGATCCATTGGTGACCAAGTAATGCTAAATTTCTCCAAATCTGTTCCCGTGAGGAACCAATTCATACATCTAGGATTTTTTTTTATTGAACTGTTGTATAAAATCAATATCACATTTTTAATGGTGCTGCACTTGTGAAAACAACACCATTACCTTACATTTGGGAAATATTTGTATTTATTTTGGTGACAAGTGCCTGTTAATTTCCAACCCTGATGAAAAAGCCTAAATGTCTGAAGTGACATCTTTAGCTGCTCCTAATTTAGCTCCACAAATGGACCATACAATTACATATGCAGTGATAACTTGCTATTATGACACTCTGGTCACACAAGAACAGAGGATTTCAATGTTTCAGTTCATTTCCACAAATAGACCACATAGCCTACCTCTCTTAATTTCAGTGGCAACATATATTACACATAAATAACACATACAGAGCACAGACAAGAGACAAGAGACAACATAAAAATGTCATGTATCCTGCCCTTTACTATATTAAGCGTTCTGAAATCAATAACATGAGGAAAATAAGAAAAAGACAGACGGCATGAAATTATCAGGCATTCTGCTGGATCTTACACTGCACAACAACAGCGCAATCAGTCAGAGGTCCTAAGTGTAATGATGCTCTTTGTATTCAAGCACCGTCTGCTGTTACGGATCGCTAGAGGAATCCAGTCCCATAGTCTTCATCAAAGTGGCAGTGTTCCCCAGTGACCAACTCTACCCAGGTTGCTAGACTTTTCATCACAGCAATTCAAAACCCCCAAGTGAAGAATTGAAAATAACAATAATGGCACCTTGGCACCGTGAGAGAAAATGATTTCAAAAAATGTGTGCACGGTGTATTTCAGGGTTCCTCAATAGACGGCCCGCGAGAGAAAAATGTTTGGCCCACGCTAATTTCAAATAATGTGGCATGAAAATTCAAACGCAGCATCAGAAAACTACATTAACTTACATCGTGTCTACACCGGACGCGAGCGGCGCGACGCAATAAAATACAATAGAACTTGTTATAATCAGTGATGCTATCCCTGCAAACATGTCCTTGCGGGGCCAATGCTGGCTTTTTGTGGGCACAGCAGTCTAGGTCCAGCCCACACCAAACCTAAACTTGCTCAGGGGAGGCCCACAGCTTTGGGCTCACCGCAGGCTCTCTGTGAGGAGCCTACACTATGGGACTGCCCACATTAATCCCATGATGGCCCAGTGTGGGCCAGACATGAGCCTGTTAATAAGAATTTTGTGGACAGTTTTCTTCCTTATCACTAGGGATGCTAGGGTGTTTTAGGTTTCCTTAAGTAAAGCCATGTGGTACAGAGAGTTAGCCATAGCAAGCAGCAGTAGCCAGCATGGCTCACCTGATGAACACATTGTGCTGTGTCCTGGTTGGGAAATGTGTCATTTCAAGCCCAGTCTAAAGGAGTTTTTTTTCTATTTAAAAGTGTACATTGTTGATGTTTTTTGCAGAGATGGTACATGTATGTATGGCCTATGTTTGAATTGATGCTAAGAGTTTAAGACAGTATATTTGTATGCATTTCAGAAGGACTCTTTATTGGTCAGGTTACCACATCATGGTCCAGTTTGAATATGGATTTAACATT